CATACAGGTTGAATAAGTATGGTGAAAGAATACAACCCTGTTGCACACTTTTCTTAATTTTAATCTATTCAATGTTCCCATGTTCTGTTCGAACACCTGCCTCTTGGTCCAGTTACAGATTCCTCATGAGCACAATTAATTTGGTCTTACCCAAGTATAAGTTTATAAAACAACAGCAAAATGCATGTGCATGCACACATACTATATACTTAACAAGAAAGGTTTAAAAAAAGAAAAACAAGACAAAATCAAACAGCAATAACAACAGCAACAAAAACCCAGCCAAATAGAATTTATGAAAATTAGTTTTTAAATTGGAAAATAAAGAGATAGCATCCAATAACATCTTGTTGTCATTGTTAGATGCTGTTAAGTCAGGACTGTAGAGTTGCTGCTTGTACAGGGGTTTCAAAAGTTCATGGAAAAATGGAACCAAATGATAATGGAATTTTTCCATGAACTTTTTGAAGTTTGCTCAAATTCATAGAAAACAATTACTGAGCATCTCCTATGTACTAAGGACTGTAATAAGCACTATATAAATATTATATGCTTTTTTCTAGCAATCTTTGAAGTATCATTTATAGAACACTTCCTGAAGTGTTTTTCCTCATTGCAAGTCTAATTCCAATATTGATTTTTTTTTAAAAAAAGGAAGAGAAATATTATTATCATTCTCTCTGATCCAAATGTAATCCAATTTGGATTTAGCAAATTAAATTTAAATTAACAATTAAAACTTAGCCATTTAGCCTTCAAAGTTTTTTTGTTTTGTTTTGTTTTGTTGTTTTTTCTCCTTAGGATATCAGAAAAGAAGTGATAAAATTGTATCACTTCCTGGGAAAGAAGCCATCAGAGGAACTTGTGGATAAAATTGTGAATCATACTTCATTCCAAGAGATGAAGGAAAATCCAACTACAAATTATACAACACTACCAGAGGAAGATATGAATCAAAAAATATGCCCCTTCATGAGAAAAGGTGAGAAAGTCATGTGATTTGTCTCTATTGCTATCAGGAGTCACAATTTGAAATTGCTACAGGCTAAAACCTAATGAGATTAATTCATTCTTGGGAATTTAGCTTATGTTTTCAATGCTGTTGTACATTTAGAAAACCTTGTTACTGAGTAATCAGTTATGATTAATAATAAACATCATTAATTCACTGCTGTTGAGTTAATTCCTACTCACAGAGAGATCATATAGTCCAGGTCACCCCTGACCCTCTGTGAGATGGGATGTTTTATGCCTCAGTGTAACTGATTAATTAATAATGCGGTTTTCCAAATGTAAAACAGTAGTGAGAAAACTGCTAGGTCTGTCCTATAGAACCTCAAAGTCTGTCAATATTTACAAAGCAGACAGTTGCATCTTTCTCACTTGGAGCTCCTGGTGGATTCAAACCTCTTGAACTTTTGTTTAGCAGCCCAATGTTTAATCTACTGTGCCAGCAGGATTTCATATATATATATATATATAAAGTAGATGGGTTGACAGTTGGATATGCAGGCATAAGGCTGGATTTGACAGTTATCAGCATAGCGTTGCAATGGTATTGACACTTTGAAAGTGGTTGAAACATGGAACACATATTGAGACCAAAACATTTGAGGAGAAATTGGAAAAGAAAAGTTAAGTGAAGGATTACAAGAGGAACATATCAGATAATTAAATTTTTTCTATTTTTTTTAGCCCTTTAGGAAAAAAATCATCTTTGAAAATTCAAATATGTATATTATTTGTTATATCAGTAAAATAAAAAGCTGATTGAGAATTACAAAAACAAAATGTGATTAAGTTTAATAAGGGTGATTAAATATTACAAAATTTCATCATTCTAGTTCAAAGACATATGTATTACTTATTGGTATTTCTCTTTTATTACAGGCTGTGTGGGAGACTGGAAAAATCACTTTACAGTAGCATTGAATGAAAGATTTGAGATGCACTATGAGAAGGAAATGAAGGGCTCAACTCTGACACTACACACTGAGATCTAAGAAGGCCTTCCTTGTCTTAACATTTCTGAGAATAAATAATATGTTCAGTATTCTTCACCTTTCACCTAGACTGATAGAGTAGGAAACTAAAAATGTTCGTTTTAATTTTTTTTAGAACATAAACTGCACCTATTTTTTCCTTTCTGATTTTGTTTCACCTTTGCAAAGTAGTTTAATTTACAATTTATCTTTGTCTGTATGAAAGATTTAAGTTGGCTCTTCTCTTTAAATTATGACATTTTTAATTCTAAAAGTACACTGGCAACTAATTGCAAATTTTAAAAAATGTTTTCTTGAAGTATCCATAGTTCTTTGCCCTAATTTTAAAATACTTTAAATGATCACTATTAACATAGTAGATAAAAATATATGTTGACATTTTCAAGCATATGAGTCATTTAATAAACTAAAGTTTATTGAGGCATCATTTATTCCTCAAGCATGTAAAAATTGCCCATTCTAATTTAAACCTAAATCTAAACTCACTGCCATTGAATCATTTGTAACTTCCAGTGACCTTCATTGAAGATTAATGTGCTATATTGCAAGATCAGTTTGAACCATAAGATCAGCAGTTCAAGCTCACCAGTTGCTCATGAGAAACACTACATAGGGTCACTATGAGTCTGAATTGACTCGATAACACCCAGAAGCCATCAAGGCAAGTGGTCAGGTCCCCTCACAGCAAACCCCCTTTCAAGACTGAGACTCAAGAGGAATACAATAGCAGGCATGTGGTCTGGCTGGTGAACATGTTGGTCACCGATAAGGGAAGAGGGAGAAATAACAGCAATGAAGTTGCAAGCTTAGCCCGATCACATTCTATAGATCCCCGTGAACCCAGGTGGAGACCTGAATGGCTAGCAGTACGGCAAGACCCAGGGACTCCTGGGCTCAGAGGCAGTGACATGGCCACAGAGGACTATAGCAAAGAGTGATATGAAGTGAGGGGAGATGCACAAGGACACCCATACTTGCAGATAGTACCCACTTGACATGGCTTTAATGGCTGGATGATCAGAACTCAACTAGAGGAAGAAAGAAGAGGGAAAAAAAAAAGAGTAACCTATTACAATTTGATTAACTTTACCTATACCTATAGATGTAGTAGTTCAAAAAAGGGAACAAATCTTTACTGTGAGGATCACTCCCACCCCCTCGGTAGACAGGGTTGACAGAGATGGACAACTTAGACATTGGCTACCCAAAATGGGGGTGGGGGTGGATATAAAGGCAGGATGTGACTGTCTTACAAGCTTTCAAGAGGGAGCCTAGTTCCAGATGGGGTGGTGGAAGGTAGAATTACCACTAAATAATTTCCAATCCGTTGGGACTGGGCTTACGAAAGGAAATGGGGATAAGACTCTTGTGGTACAATAGTGAATAATTGCTATCAGGACTGACTGTGAGGTTAGGAAATATAGAGGTAGATGTTTTTTTGACAAAAGGTGGAGAGTGATTGATTTTGCAGCCCAGGAGCAGAGATCCCTGGAACTATCAAGTGAAGAACAGAGAGTGGGACCCTACCCAGAGAGGCAGTGATGCCAGAGAGGGAGACAAAGATGATGATGTGGACAGATGGAGTGGCTGGGGACACTGGACTCAGGAAGGGAGAAGGGCTGTGTGCTGGTGGCCAGGGGGTTGGTGGGGGGCTGGGCTGTGGGGTGTACACTTTGAGGTTATTTGGTGATGCATGGATGGTATTGTAATCATTGCAATGAAATGAAATACAATATGATGAGTGTAAAGCTGATGTTCTCCCATGTAAACCCCACAATAGAAACTAAAAAAAAAAAAAAAAAAAAGAAGAAAGTAGTAAAATTAATATATTAACATAACATCACCACCAACTAGAAACAGACCAACAAAGCAAACCTACAGTCACCAAGAGAAAACAAATAATAAAGATCAGAGCAGAAATAAATGATATAGAAAACATAAAAACTATAGAAAATATCATTAGGACAAGAGGCTGGTTCTTTGAAAGGATTAATAAAATTGACAAACCATTAATTAAATTGGCAAACTTAACAAAAGAAAAGAGGTAGAAGACACAAATAACACACATTAGAAACCACATGGGAGATGTCACAACAGAACCAAAGGAAATCAAAAGGATAATAGCAAAATACCATGAAGAGTTGTACTCCACCAAATTTGAAAACTTAGAAGAGATGGATACTTTTTTAGAAAAACACAACCTACCTAAACTCACACAGAGCAAAGCTGAAGACTTGAACAGACCCATAACAATAGAAGAAATTAATCAGGTCATCAAAAAACTCCCAACCAAAAGAAATCCAGGTCCAGATGGCCTCACTGGTGAGTTCTCCCTGACATTCAGGGAAGAGTTGTACCAATTCTACTCAAATTATTCTAGATTATAGATGAGGATGGAAATCTTCCTAATACATTTTATGAAGCAAGCATAACCCTCATACCAAAACTAAGGAAAGAAATCACTAAGAAAGAAAATTACAGACCAATATCCCTCATGAACATAGATGCAAAAATTCTCAACAAAATCCTAGCCAACAGAATCCAGCAGCACATCAAAAAAATAATACATCATGACCAAGTGGGATTCATATCAGGGATGCAGGATGGGTCAACATTAGAAAAGCAATCAGTGTAATCCACCATAAAGAAAAAGAAAAACAACACATGATCATATTGATTGATGCAGAAAAGACATTTGACAAAATCCAACATCCATTCCTGATAAAAACACTCAACAAAGTAGGAATTAAAGGGAAATTCCTCAACATAATCAAGAGCATATATACAAAACCAACAGCCTACATTATTGTTAATGAAAAGACACAGAACGCCTTCTCTCTGTGAACAGGAACCAGACAAGGATGCTCTTTGTCACCACTCCTATTTAATATTGTGCTCAAAGTCTTAACCAGATCTATATGGCAAGATAGGGAAATCAAGGGGATCCAAATTGGCAAAGAGGAATTAAAACTCTATTTGCAGACAATATGATCCTATATGTAGGAAACCCCAAAGATTCAGTACAAAAGCTACTAGACCTCATTGGAAGATTCAGCAAAGTGACAGGGTGTAAGATCTACATCCAAAAATCAGTTGGATTCCTCTATACCAATAACCACAGTGCTGAAAAGGACATTAGGAAAATAATACCATTTACAATAGCCACCAAAAGGATGAAATATCTAGGAATAAATGTAACCAGAGAAACAAAGGACCTACACAAAGAAAACTACAGAACACTGCTACAAGAAACCAAAAGAGATCTACAAAAATGGAAGAATATAACATATTACTGGATAGGAAGACTTAACATTGTGAAAAAGTCAATACTGCCCAAAGCAATTTACACATATAATGCAATCCAAATCCAGATTCCAACAACATTCTTCAAAGAGATGGAAAAAACAATCACAAAATTTATACTAAAAGGAAAGAGACCTAGGATAAGCAAAGCACTGCTTAAGAAGAAGAACAGGGTGGGAAGCCTCTCACTACCTGATTTCAAAATTTACTACATGGCTACAGTGGTCAAAAAAGCCTGGTACTGCTATAATGAAAAACACATTGATCAATGGAACAGAATTGAGAATCCAGTAATTAACCCATCCACTTACAGCCAACTGATTTTTGACAAAGTACTTAAGTATATTGTATGGGGAGGAGACGGTCTCTTTAACAGATGGTGCTGGCAGAATTGGAAAGCGATATGCAAAAGACTGAAACAAGACCTTTACCTAAGGCCTTATACAAAAACCAACTCAGCATGGATTAAAGAACTAAATGTGAATCCCAGAATTACAAAGGTCATCAATGAAAAAATAGGGACAAATGTGAGAGCTCTAGCACAGGGTATACACAGACTACCAAACATTTTGAAACTTACACAAACAAAAATAAACAAAATAGATCAATGGGACATACTAAAAATTAAAAACTTATGCACATAAAAAACTTCATCAAAGAGTAAAAAGGGAGCACACAGAATGGGAAAAAATCTTTTTTAATGACACATCAAACAAGGGACTAATTTCCCAAATATATAGGAACCTATAACACCACTACAAGAAAAGGAAAAATAACCCAATAAAAAAATGGTCACAGGACATGAAAAGACACCTCACCAAAGAGGAGATCCAGGCAGCCAACAAACATAGGAAGAAATGTTCATGATCACTAGCCATTTGTTGTTGTGGTGGTGGTTAAGTACCATGGAGTTGGTTCTGACTCATAGTGACCCTGCACATGGTTTCTGAGGCTGCAAATCTTTATGGGAGCAGAAAGACTTATCTTTCTCCTGTGAAACAGCTGGTAGTTTTGGACTGCCGACCTTGAGGTTAGCAGCCCGATTCTTAACCACTACGCTACCAGAGCTCCTTAGAGAGATGCAAATCAAAACAACAATGAAATATCATCTCACACCAGCAATAATAGCAAAGATTAAAAAAATAGATGACAATAAGTGTTGGCGAGGATGTGGAGAGACTGGGATACTCCTCCATTGCTGGTGGGATTGCAAAATGGTCCAACCACTATGGAAAATAATATCGCTTCCTCAGAAGGTTGGAAATAGAGAGATACCTTATGATTCAGCAATTCCTCTACTTGGTTTTTACCCACAAGAAATACGAGCCATAGCATGAGAAGATATATGCACACCAGTGCTGATAGCAGCTCTATTTACAATAGCAAAAAGATGGAGACAGCCTAAGTGCCCATCAGTTGAAGAATGGATAAACAAACTGTGGTACATAAACACAATGGAATACTATAGTATCCTGAAGAATAATGAGGATGTTGCAAGCCACCACATAATATGGATGAATCTTGAGGACTTTATGCTGAGTGAAATCAGTCAGTCACAGAAGGAGAAATATGGCATAGAGCCATTATTGTAAAAAATTAAGAAAAAGCACCCACATTGAAGGGGAGGGGATTTATCTTTTATTTTTTTTTATTTTGTTCTTATTATTATTATCTTTTTTGTTGTTGCTGGTTACTGG